ATTGTGTTAAATCCATTTCACCATTTCGCGCGAGGAGAGCCGGCAATGGACGTTCAATGGATGTCTTTAATGGACGTTCAATGGATGTCGTTAATGGACTTTCAATGGATGTCGTTAATGGACTTTCAATGGATGGTCTTGCTTTCGTGCTTGCACTTTCTCCTCCGTTCGTTTTTACGTCAGTAGAACATGATCGATGACGTTTCAAGAATTGTCAGTCGAAAAAATCAGCATCGGTTTGCATTTTAAACTGGTTATGTGAATGACGAAGGCACATAGATATGTGAATGACGAAAGCGCATAGATATGTGAATGACGAAAGCGCATAGATATGTGAATGACGAAAGCGCATGGATATGTGAATGACGAAAGCTCATAGATATGTGAATGATGAAGGCGCATAGATATGTTAATGACGAAGGCGCACAGATATGTGAATGACGAAAGCGCATAGATATGTGAATGACGGAATTTGGTCAACGTAGCTATTCGAGTGTGAGCTAAAATGTTCTCTCCCGGCTTCCCACCTGTAAAGATGGATATTTCGCGGCGACGACATCTGCCAACACATTTGATTTTGAGGATGAGCGGATCAGGTTCAGCTTCTTCTTGGAGAAACCACGAAGCAATGGCTTTGTGTTCGTGTTTCCCCCTTTTCCCCAAATCAGTCGGTCATTTTCGAGGCAGAGAAGAAACGATTTACCTTCTATTATTCCCTATGTCATTCCCTCAATAAAGATTTCGCTTTCGGTTGTTTCGCTAAACCATAAACCACGCAGGTTTCAAGGGGGGAAAGGCCCTCTGGGAGAGATCGGGGTGTCGATTAAAACTCGATTAATTTCGACCGATACTTTTGAATCGCGATTAGTTTCATCGATGAATTTGTCGATTGATCGAATCGACAGTCCTAAAATTCAGAAATCCACGACGATGACCTGCTTTGACCCATCCCGGACCAGTCATTTTCCTACAATATGCTACTTTCGACGAAATTTTGTATTTTAATAATAGCACATGAATTAGCAGAGATATAAAGGTGAAGTATTTACACGGGGAAATTGTAGATAGTTTAGTGAGTATTCGTACGAGCGATACACCTGATCCGAGGAAACTCGAACTCGGTCTTTAATGTATTGATATCTACCCTTAAACCACTAAGCTGGGTCGAATTCGACCCAGAGCCCATGTTATATAAGGCTTGGGAGTTAAAGGGTTAAGCAAGAAGCGACGAAAAACGACAGAAATTGACGCAATCGACGATGACGGCGGGGAGACTTGAGGGGATTTCGTTGCTTCATTCGTTACGCAGCAATCTCGGGAGTGCCGAGTAATGAGGGAAGCAATTAATGGGAATTTCGTGTCGCGTGGAAATCCTTTTGCCGCATGCCGATCCTGCTCTTCCCTTGGGCGCCAACCTGCTTCGGTGAGTCGTTGAATCCGCAACATCGGTAAGCCTTTTATGCCCTCGGATGGTGGTTGAGATTTCCCGAGGAAACTCGTTGAGCTGGGAAGGGAGACAGATGCACAAAGTGGGAGTGCCAGTAAAGTTTTTAACGGTAAAGATTCGCATGAAAGTGTGAATTTGCGTTGCATTGAGTGGGCTACTTCAAAATAATTACCTTGAAAACTGTATTAGAACCGTAATTAATATGATTAATATTCGCAAAACCGTCTTTACGAAGGTTCTGCTACGTCCACATCAGAGCAATACGGTGTAGAATTACTTGAGCCCTCAATATTTACGATCTCTTGCGGGGTCTCTCCTCGACGGGGCGAAACCATCGGAAAACGAATTGAAAAACAGGACTAGGAAAATGTTTCATGAGAGGAAGTTCTTAGCAAAACCCAGTCGTAGGATATAATTAGTTCCAACGAAAATCTTCTCGCGACCATCTGATTCTGATGAATTCAGTTTGACATCAATAACTTCATTCTATCGACTTTCTGGGAGTAAACCCAGTTTGGCATATAATTGCAGGATATAGCGTGCGGATAGGGAGGAAGAGTCGTAATGTACAACGAGCATAAAACCGAAACAAGCGCCTCGAGAAACAGCGTATGGCTCGGTAATACCGTCCCGATCCGCTTGCAATGCGCCCGGTTTTTCAGGAACGCATCCCGAGCGTATCGCGAGGTATTACTGCATTCGCTTGGATGTTTTCCAGATGACATCATTTAACATCTTTATTCCAATCTGTTTCGCGGGGCTGCTCTCTCCCCCTCCCCCCCTTCCTCTGCCACCTGATGTTATGGTCAGGAATTGCGAGGTCATATTCCGTCTGATGCACATTCTCTACTTCCACCTGGCACCGTATAGTTCTATTGTATTTTTACTTTGTATCCTCGACAATGGCGAATGATTCTTCAATGTGTTGTGCTGCGTTTTGGTTACTCAACTTTTTTTTACAATCGGTTTACAATTTCTTTGCTTTAACTTGGTCTGGATGAGCCTTTGCTTTCGTTCGACTAATGACCTTGAATGACCTTGCTCCCCAGAAATTCCTTCCATCCGTCCGGATTCAGCGAAGAATGGTGGTCGACGGTCACTTCCTCGCCGGCGGGATATTCGCGGCGGTCGGGCTCGGGATGCTGTGGAGCGCGATGTCCCGGTATCACGCGAGTCGGCTGGATCCGTCGAGTCCGCCGTTTCGGAGTTCGCTCAGGTTCTTGCCCGGGCGGATGTGTTTGGATTATCTGTTCGTGGGTGGCGCTGCCATCGCAGGCCTCATCGGCAAGTCTTAACTTTCTTTCAGCATATTTATTACGCTATGAATAGTGTTATTATAGGACGGTTAAACTATTGCATATTTATCATATTATGATGGATAAATTGTTTTATGAATCAGAAAACTCTCGAGAACTTTTCGCATTCAGGGAAACAGTTTACTGAGCAGTTTGCATTGAACACAATAACACAATTCGTAAAAACTAAGATCTGTACAACCAGGAATTTCTTCATTGAAACACTGATTTTAATAGGGTATCATTGAGTAGAATTTCTATTATTACGGACCTTATCGACATTGAAACGCACGAAAAAGGTGGTCGGATCACGTCAGAAAAGAATGCTTTTAGCAAAAGATAAAACTATGCATTTTCTTTTATCTGCTGATGGCCGATCGTCAGCCCAAATGCACCCCAGATTTCCCAATGAACTCGATCAAATCACTTGCTTTTCTGGACGCTTCCTCATCCGATCCGGATCCGAAATGGTATTTCCTTCGTTTCCTTGAGAAGGGCGCGAGACTGACACGGTAGACTTGAGGGGATCTGGGCATGACGTGCATTTTCTTCGCACCTGGATTCTAGGAAAGACCAGTTCCATTTCAAACCGAATAGAACAGGTTCCATTTGAAACCGAAGCCGGAGGCTTAGATGAAGTAGAGGAAAGAGATTACTAACCTTCATTAGATGAAGTGAAGTTGACGTTTACATCTTCAGTAGATGTTGAAAATGTTCACCACGTGCATTTAAGCACTGCTGACATCGTTCTACCTGCGTCGGCAACGTAACATACGAGGTACCTCGCTTACACTATTCCTTCAGCAATGTAATAGATTCGGTTTTTTTAAAGGAACACCCAGGATGGTTGAGAGCACTAGGCAAGGTAGGCATTTATTCGCCTTTTAACCCATTCGCATCCAGGAGACTTTGGGCCTTTTGGGCTAGAATTCTACTGCCTCCATCTAACGCGCGAGGACTACCAGCATATGCCTTTCTAGGGGAAAAAAGACGGGACGATGGGTATTAGTGCAGCCCGTTCAGTCCTAGAGAAGACCAGCTGGCAAATGGACCCTTCTTGGGGCGCCGTTTTTTATATCTTGTCCAAGCATGTCGCAGCCCAGCGTGAGACTAAACGGCAAAGGCGGAATCGGAAGGCTTGCGTTTCGTGTCCCGTTTTGAATGATTTGTGTCTCGGGATGACCTGCCTTCCATCTCCAGCCCGAGCAGAACGCCACCGAACTGTAGAATTTTGAGGAGAGAAAAGGGAGGGGTCGAGGGCTTCGTTATGGTGAACGGCATACTTCAGCTTCTGCGATAACAAAATGCTGGTGACGCATTAGGCAGTCATCGACGTGAGACAGGCCCTCGTGAGGGAAATTGATGAAGAAGTTAACTGACTCTAAAGATGCCATCCGACATCATATCACCATGTTGAACTCTAGACAGATTCGTTCAGATGTCTATCATGGAATCCTGGAACTGCTAGTCACGAACACGAATGATGGTTATATTGAGCGGGTGTAGGTGGACATTGTCCTTTGGTGGACATTGTCCTCGACCTGGGAAACGTGTTCCCCATGGCCTGAAAAGTGCGTCCACCAAATATTGCCGTCCTGCGGTAAAGAGTATTCAAGATACAGACATGCTAATGAATTCTATAAGAACCCAGTACATTGGTTCAATATGTTCGTCGACATTCTCGATGCATTTTCTCCGGCGACGGTGCCGTTCTGCTGGCACATTCCTCAACTTTTCCCCTAATTTGCTATTGATCCGGTTTGATATTATTGAACTTCTCAGGAAACTTTCACTGCCTGCCTGCTCCACGCATTGAAATCATCTTCACACATTCTTCCTTGACTTCCACATGCTGTGTCATTGCTAAAAAAAAAATCTGGGGGAAAATGCAAGCAAAGCAAAGCAAAATAACAGAAATCAGAACATTTTCATCCTAAAATTTAGATTTTATGTTATCATGGTGCAGGGCATGTCATGTCTTCCTTGAAGATATGTCTACGAAGGACATTGCAATTTTCATCCATCACTAGGAGGTCACTTAGCATGTCCCCAAACATTGTGCATTTCTATTGATGTGCTGGTTTCATGCTTAAATCTTTGGCGTCATTGTTGAAAAGCTCTCTTTCCTTGAGACGCAAGCATTCCATTACAACTGCATCCATTACAACAAAATTCACGGCTTCATCCATTCCAATACATTCGTTGTAGGCGAGGGATTCTTCGGAGCGGTTCGAATAAGGAGCTACCAACACGCTTCGATGTACGGGGGATATATCCTGTTGGCGGTGGTGCAGATCGCGATCGAGAGGGGATGGCACTTCCTGCCCCAGTCGGACTACGCGGCCATGATGGTGGGGGTCGCTGGGGAGTGGTTCCTCTTCACGTGGCATTTCGACCGAGGTCCACTGGAGATCATGGTAGGGTTGGGAATCGCTGGCTGGGTGGTGATGAGTGATGTTCGTCGGTGAAGATTGGGGGGGGGGGTTTGAGGATTTCTTGCCTTTTGGTTTTCTTCAGTAGCCGCCAGCGCAAATCGATTAAGTTGTTGAAAATAATGCGAACAAGTTTTTATAGATAAGTTTTTGCTTGTCTTGGTCCAGTATCGTCACTCCAGACATAAATTTCATGTTTTCTTTCGTAAAAGAATATGTTCGCATGCTTCAAAGAACTCAGTCAAACGAAGCCATCTCAATGGATATTCCAACACCAACAAGAAACTTTCTTCAATTTCTTGCCGTGATAAGTTCACCAGGATATTTTATGAAACCCTTTTCCCTCCAAGCTCCACGAATGCGCGAAGCTGATCCTGCAAGCGAAATTCCTCTCCCACCTGCTGGAGCTATTCCGCCGCGCGGACCCGCTCGCCGCCGTGTTCCGCGGCTACTGCTTCCTCCTGCAGGCGACCTGGTTCTTCCAGACCGGCTGGATCGTCCTCCCGCCCTGGCAGACGACGTGGGAGAGCGAGAACCACTTGCACGTCGTCCTCGTCACCGTCGCCTTCGTTCTTCATCTCGTCCTGGACGCCGCCTTCGTCTTCGCTCTTAATATCGTGGTCGCCAGGGTCCAGCAGAGACGGTACGAGAGGCTTAAATTCCATGTCGACGGAAGTCCCACGATCGTTACCGTGAGTTCAGTTCATCGGATCTTTAATGTGAAAAGTATTTTTCATCGACTTTTTACTCTCGACCGAGGGGAACGAATAAATATGCCTGTTCTTCCTCCAAACAGCATTAGTTGTCGCGGCTTTTCCCGTGTAATCATGAATTCATCTACTGGATGAAACCATCGTTGATATCGTGACGGTCTCGAAGGCCTGTTCCAGCCGGCCGAACCGAGGCGTCATCTCGCGTCGGTCAATGAATTACACAACCTTTGACCTAGGCTATAAATTTGGAGTATAGTATGATTACAACAATATACCAGAGGCAGAAAAATCCCATCCACTTTTTACAGATCGTGACAATATTGCCAATAACCTGGTAGTTCTCCTATATTTTCATGAATGGCGCCTATATGAGGTATGCACTTTCACCTTTTTTTTAACTAGATGGCATTGGAATCGGCCCAAGCAGCATGTTCACGCAAACAAGATATCGATTTTTTTGCAAACAATGTAAATTTCTTGCGATTGCCATGAAAATGACATCACGTTTACGAAAAATTTACGTTCCTATATTTACGTCACCAAAGTGTACGTGTATTTATTATGCAATCCATGAATATATATATGGAAAACATGAAATTATTACATACTTTTTCATAATATATGACTCAGGGAATCATTAAATGCTGAAGTTAAGCTTTTTATTCCAGCAGTGCACGGGATTAGGGAAGAGTAGAATCCCAGCCTTAAGAGTACTATATCTTCTCTATCCTAAAAGGAAGTAGAGCTCCTTTGAACATCTACTCCTCCTCTCGAGGTTCCAGCACGGGAGGATGGAAGCAGTAGGTCACTTAGGTACTCTTGAGTGGTGGTGAGGATGAGTACTCGTGTACTCGTCCAACCACCCTAGAGTTCCGAAGAACGTGAAGGAATTGGAGATTCAGTATGTCAATTCTCTTTAATGGTACTGGTTGACTCTTTAAATACTCATGAATGCCAGGGGAAATTAACTTAAATCTCACGCAAAATGAATGTAAACATGCTCTTTGGAATGCAAACGGGAAGGTCAATTTTAGGTAAAATTTACGTTAATTTCATATCACCTTTTACGTATCACAGAGGTGACATTTCTGCAAACATGTTGACATTTTCTTGACAATNCTTTTACGTATCACAGAGGTGACATTTCTGCAAACATGTTGACATTTTCTTGACAATGGTTTGCGTAAAAATGATATAAAATGGACAAAAAATGTACATTCATTTTACGTAAAATTAACATAAACATGCTGTTTGGGGGGTTCCAGAGTTGAATTCGAACGTCGGTCACACACTACGAATTCTTGTGCCATCTGGTGACGATATATGAAGCCACAAAACATACGTTGGCACCAATTCGACTTACATTTAGGATAAAATGGTAAATCCTCATCGACAAAGACGGTAGCACCACCTAGCAGTTGAGAACAAAACTACCGTGAGGGAATAATGCCATCTGGCGATATTGGTTGAAACCACAAATTACATTTCCTTCACTGGAGAATGGAACATCGAAGCCGCAACTGTTCATTTACTCAACTTTGGCATAACATTTATTACTTTTAAATCATATTTAAAGAATTCTAATATAATAGGTGAATAAATGTTTCAGACATTCCAGTGCGAGAAGCGACCGCTGATGACCGATTCGGCACTCATGCAGGAGGAAGAGTGACGACGGAACCGCGCGAAGAAGACGTCTTCGATATCTTTCGGTACTTCCACAAATCGATTTCCTGTCTTTCATGAAAATAAACGCTGTGCAAGTCCAGTTTGCAGAGCTTTTTTTTTTATAAATAGCGCTGAAAAGCCAAAATACGTTTAAAGATGTGCACAATTCATTTTAAAATACACAAAAGGGCGTCACAACTGCATCCTCACCCTCCACGCTGATTCCACGACGATATCGATGCGATGCAAGACAAAGGATACGAAGACGAAAGATCGAAATTCAAGTTCAAAGTGAATGAATTCGAACGAATCCAATCGAGAAACCGTGAAGCTACGCTACTTTGACCCGTGCAGACCTCAACCACGCACTTATAGGTAATTATTTGCTCCGAAAGGGAAAAATACTCCAAATCACCATATGTATCATTATTTATCTAGTATTAATAGTAGGTTTTGTCAGATCTGAATCTGAGCAACCGTGCAGGACTCCACAGATGAAGAATGACACCCACGAAGGATTCTCCTAATGCTTCACCTTCCATCCAAAAGATGTCCTGCCTGCACTCGGAGTGCTCCAAGGAGGAGATGCGAATTCAACCGGAAACAGTGTTGCTACGCTGCCGAGCGGCGTGCAGATCTCAACTACGCACTTGTGTAATTACTTCCGGAGTACAAGGATGTCCGACTGAGCTCCTCAGCCCCTACATGCTCTTCCGGAGAAACTCCCTTGATCCATGACTAACTATTGATAGTAATATCTTTACAGAAAAGAACAAAGTACTTGCTGAAGATCGACATTATTTATAATTTAAGAATATGGATGATAATGCTAGTTTTTCATGCACTGGATTACGATTGCGGATAGCATCCATGTGTGCTATGTTGTTACGTAAGCCATGAGGTAGTCGCGCTAGAATGCGAATGCCAGGTCGAGGTTCTTCCATGGCGGTAGCTCGAAATCAACTCAGGAAATGTGGTGGTGACTTCTACAAACTTGCCAAAATTTGTACGTTTTGTGAACGCAATGCGGCTTCGAGAAAGGTCTGCAGATGTAGTCTCAGACATTGGTCTACAGAGCTAGCCTAGACTAGGACGGTCAGACGTCATGGTCTTTTTAGGCTCTGCCCTGGTTTGGAAGGTGCTACTCTTTGTTGCTTGTTTTTTTTTTTTCAGCAACCTCTGCAATTGATTAGTTACCAGTCAGGTGCTGTTGCATCTTCACTTTCCTTGAATTTAATATTTGTCTTCTCTAGCCTGCCTTCATGGGTCAAGCACTTGAATAATTTGCATGGTACAGATATCATTGATCAGTGCTGATGCAGACCTCAGTGTTTTATGGAATTTCTAAGACCAGCGAAATTAAGTCAATGGAGAGTGAGGTCAAAACCCAAGAGATGCCTGAATCTCCCCCACTGAGGAGATCAAATCGGATTGCTGTCAGACGAGCAGCTGATGGCGTTGAAGAAATCTACAAAGAGGAGCAAGCAATGAGAAAAATGAAGGTAGTTACCATATGTGCTTGCAAGTAGAATTTGTTCTTATCAGTGGGATAGAGCCAAATGCACCGGCTTGTTTCCTTCTCGGCTACAGAGGGTTTCCTGCTATTTGACACATTGCATCATGATAGAATTAGAAACCCTTATAATTAGAAACAGCCTGCATTAACATATTTCACTTTGTAATAGTGTCTTTCAACCTCATTTGAGTGCCATTGAATGGTGTGCTACTTGAGCACACTTATAAATCATGGAGCCTATCTCAGAACCTTAGTTGATAGCTTTTGTTTTTTTACTGTACCTATTCAAAACACTCTCCATTTCCATTTTCTGATGTGCAAATAATTATTAATGAAGTTCAAGATGGAGAGTTGTCATTGAGGACACTTGCCAGAAGCCAGGAACAAAATTTTCAAATGACAAACTCCTTTACTTTTTGGATTGTGTGGAAAGTGAAGTTGTGCTGAAGGAAAATGTCCCTTTATCTTAAAAAAGAAAGGCTATTGTGTTTTAGATGAGATTGAAAATTATTGTTTCAACATTCTTGCCAAAGAATAAAGTCTGACTTCTGGCATATCATACAAATAGGCAACAGAGAATCAGCCCCACAAGCTATAAGTAGTCCCTTCTAATTTGCATGTGCATAACTCTAAAGGGTAAACAGGAGTGCAAAGGGTTTAATCTGATGTTGCTCTAGGAATATATTCAAAGACTTGTGGAAGTGTTCTGTGTCTTCAGACAACTCAAACAATGTGCTTAAACAATCGTGGAAGGGGTATCAAAACCATCTGTAGACAGCATGCTGTTTTTCCAAGCCATTGTCAGGTTGAGAGATGGGAAACTACCACAGATGCACAGTTGACCCTCGAATCCACTGTGCTGTCTCTGCTGCAGGTTCAGGCCTCTTATACATGTATTTAGTAACAAGTAATGATTCATAAATTGCATCATCAAATCCTTGGCCAGGATGCTATGACATGGCCACAGTTGCTGTTTGAATGTATCTTTCCTCTCACTCTGTTCACTCACAAGGAGCTGAAAACTAATACATGATGCTTTTTGCAGCTGTGATATTACATCATTCATTTTAAAGAAATCTTTAGTGGAAAATATCTCAAAGTTACAGTAATCACCTACAAGTGTATGTTGTTCTTGGTTTTTGTGATAAAGAAGCCTATTTAAAAATGTTATTTACTTCTTCTTATGATATAATAGCCTTTTTAGGCATCCCCATATCTCATATGAGACAGAAGCTGCCCCAAGAGTTATAAAAGCATAACTGTTGGTTATCCCCTTAGGAAAGAGCTTCCAAGAAATCAAAGCCTCGTGGAATGTCATACTATCAGAAGCTTAGAAAGCGCAACATTGCGGAGAAGATGGCTTTACTTGCATCACTTGGTGTCTCAACTGATATCAAAACTCTCCATGAACAAGTGTCTAAGAAGAGGCATCTGAAAAGGTGAGCAATGCAGATGAATCAGATTGCCTTGTTTTGGTGCAAGTCCAATCCTGCACAAATGCCATATTTGTAGGTTGAATCTGATTTCTCAACCAATGGACAAATCACATAAATTATTTGGGTAAATCTTTTGATTTTACAATCAGTGCAGCAGTACACTTTTGCTATAATTTAATGCTTGGCACTTGGCAATGCTTTCTCTTCACATTTTATTTTTTTCTGCTGATCCTTCAAGAACAGCTTGGTTCTTCATCCTTTTTGCCAAGGGGAAGCTATACATTTTATCCTAAATAAAAATTACGGTTTAAAGCAGTACTTCTGATAGTCAGGAATAATTATGGTTATGTCTACCTCTTCCTTTCATTTTATCTTCCTCCTTGTCCCCCGTTGCCTGACAAAATTCACAATGTTTGATTCCATAAAGTAAGAAAATTATCCAAAGTCAATTTTTATGATGAACCTGTATATGAACAAATGTAAGATGATCACATAAAAGTTTGGTGAGACCCTAATTTCTCAGATCCTGATGCATAAATAATTTTTCCTAATGTTTCCCGCTGTTAGTGTTTTCTTTTTATGATCAAAATCATGAATAATTCATTAATAAAGTTTTCTTATTATAAAAAAGTGTTATTAAAAAAGAAATGGGGGTGTCATGAAGTCTTCAGGTAGTTTGGAAAATTATTCTTTTCCAAGCATTATGGGGTATATGCATTAAACTGTTTTACATTATTCTCCATATTGATCAATTCCTGGTTGTTTTCTGCTCAAAATTTTTGCATGCTCTTTTGAAGATGCTTAGAAATAGCAGTGAAAAATGAATTTAGAAGAAACTGTACTGGTTTGAGGAAAAAATGTAATATGTTTCCATTACAACATAAAAGTTCCAACAAGTGCTTAACAAGTCCCCTCCCTCAACAAATTCCATCTAATATTGGCAAATGAAACTTGAGGCATTTGAAGGATTGATGATGGCAAGTGACCAGGTTCCCCAAGAGGCTGCTAGTTGCAGCAGAAGTCAGCGTAGAGTGCCACTCACATCCACCACGCTCCAGTATCAGATTCTATGTGAATTTTAATTGATGAAATCTCCAAAAAACAAATCTAGACATTTATGGACTGCCTTCTACTATGTAGCCTGAAATGTCCTAGCTATACTTCATCAAGCATACAAGCCTATGTGATGGTGTGGTTGCTACTGAAAAATAAGACAGATCCCTATTTAGAGGACAAGGGAAAGGATAGGGGTACCAGTATTATTTCAGGCAGGTTGTTACTCCTTGCAAAACATATATAGGCTCATATGAGTGGTTCATTAAGTTACTCATGCAAGCTCATCATGAGCATGAACAACATGCAAAGGAATCAGTTCAACCACTGGCTCACAGTAATTTCCACATTTCCTTTCTTTATTATATGCTTTCTTTTTACATTATTTTGACAGGAATTATGTGCCATTTCACTCTAGCTTAATTTATATATCTGCTTATTTTAGCAGTCTATATGTTTTAGCATTATCAATCCTTTTAAAATTTTGGCAGGCATACAGAAAAGAGTGAGCCATCTTCATCTGTTAGGCATATTGTTGCATTTTCCCAGGTTAAAATCATCATGATGAGTTGCTAAGCAGACACTATCCACTTAGCAACATTTGAGTCATGGAGTGATGAATGTTGAGAGAGAGATTATTCCTACACAATCATTCCCTGTCATAACTCCAAATGCTTGCTGATTCAAAATTGACTGCCAACCATTAAACAACCCCTTTGTATGAATGGATGCTGATAGTAGTAGTGAAACTTTCTGTGCATTGAGATCAAATAAGGATCTTGATCTATTTGAATTTCTGCTTTATATTTGTCGTGCTTCTGTGGTGCATGGTTTGGCATGCAGTTGTAACTGCTTTTTCTTCAAGCCTCAGTATTCAGGATGTTCCAAGGAAAACATCCCATTTTCAATTATCTGTATGTTCATTGCAGTTGAATATGTAGTATGAACCCATTCATTGCCTAAAACATGTCATGCTCTAACTCTCACTGTATGCCTGCTTGACATGTTAATGTATCTGATTTTATAAATTTATTATGGCTTTCAGTACAGGGTATATGTCTTCAGATTTGTAATTTGCAGCAAATAAAGTTTTAAAATTTCATGTGTGTTGTTGTACACAGCATTTAATGGGGATACCTTCTAAGTGAATGGGTTAATTTACATGTAAGCCTAAGAGTTCATGTGAGCTGTGAACCAACATGTTTCCAATTGATCTGCATCAAGAACTGAAGGCAAATGAGTGGTGTCATTAGATGAAGAGTATGATTTCAATCCAGTAAAATTTCTCTTGCTCTGAATTTCATTCTCATTGCATGCTCATGGCCATAAGATCAACCACACCTACATTGAGGAGTTATGAATATGCATGCATGCAAGCAATGAGAAGTCACAAGGGTGTGCTTATATGGAGCAGCAGGGACTCCTCTCTAATTGTTTTTGTTATACCCCTTAATCAGCCTTCTCCTGTGTTCATAGTCAATCTGGCTCCCTTTGCATTTCCCAGTATTCCTGTGTGTAATCCCTACCTTTTCCTGTCTCCCCCCCCCCCCCCCCCCCCCCCCCCCCCCCCC